TATGTATTTTGATTCTTGGCAGGCTGCTTAAGTTTAATTATCGGCTATGAGAGAACCATTATCGATTGAACCCTCAAAACAGTGAGGAATACAGTGTGTTTGCGTGTACGTGTACGTGTTTTTTTTAGCATGCATAATACGTGTGTACGAGGATTTTCTGTTTCTTTTTTTCGTTTTTACTTGTTCCGTATCGCTAAACATTAGTCTTACTTTGCGTAATACGCACTACACACAAATTTCCCTTATTTAATTGCTTTTTAATATCCCCTCTTGCTTAATCTTTCACATTGATTCATTTGACGTTGACAAACATATTTCTAACAAAAAAATCGCTATATTTTTATATATATATATGTAGCATTACTTTGTGAAATCCGTTAATTCGTGAAATGACCAGCTAAATTCTTAAATAACTATACGGACCTGTTTAAATATGAAAGACGGCAGAATTATATATATTATAGAATTACATATTATTTTGTTTCCAACTAATTTTAAGTAATATATGAATTTACAAGAGGCGAATAGTTAAGGAATTAGATTGAAATCTAATCTCAAATATAGGAAAAATATTCTTCAGTTTCGTTTCAATACTTGTTTATATTACACTGTTATAAATCCGGAGATAAGAAATATGTGCTTCTTCATTTTAAGGTCTTCTAAACGAAGGTTATCTAATTTCGAGATAGAATTTCTCTATTGATTTAAGAGATTTAATTAAGGTTTCCTTCGAAAATTGTGAAAATAAAAATAAAATAAACGCGAACACATTTTTTGTCTCCGGATTTACAACAATGTAGTATATGCAAATATTTTTTTTGAAACAAAATCGAAGAATAATTTTCTTATACTTTGAATCAAATTTCAATCTCATACTTTAACTCCTCGCCTCATGTGAATTTATATATAACTTTCTTATTTCCTAAAATTACTAATTTTAGTGTATAATAAAATTCCTTTTATATGTTTTCCCAAAAACGCCTAGTTATTTCTGGTAAGACGTTTCCACGATTTAACCAAAGTATACAATTTAATGCTGACATATACACATAGATTAAACAAGAGAGGATATGAAGAAGCAATTAAAAAAGGGAAATCTATATGTAATGCATGTCAAGCAAAAGACAGTTAACGTATAGCGATACGGAAAAAAGTAAAAACAAAAAAAATACATGAAATTACGATGCACACATATGATGCATATACATATATTAAGTTTTTCCACCATCAAGCGAACCGGAAATGAAAAAAAGAAAAGAAAAAGAATAATAATAATAAGAACGCTGGCAATGTTCTTAAGAATAAATAACCGGGGATTAATGAGAAAAATCTTGCTCTCATCTATCTCTCTTTTTCCCTCGCCCTATCTCTCTCTCTCTCTCTCTTTCTCTTTTTTTCATTTTTTTTTCCGCCTATTTGCATTATACATACGTATAGGTCGTGCGTGTTCTTTATAAATATGATATCTTGATTGTTACGCAACGTGCAGCTCGCTTAAAATTTCATGTATAATATGCGCGTGTGTATGCATATTTTTGTTTAAATACACCTTTTTCAGGTAAGATCAGTCTTATGTTTGTTGTATAATCGTCGCGCTCTATAATCAATAATACATACGCACGCTGTGTACCTTTTCGCGTTGTGCCCGTATTAAGCGGCTGCACGCGTGCGTTATTTAAATAATGTTTTTCTTTTTCTTCTTTGTTTGTTTGTTTTTTAACGCGCAGAGATGGTACTATACATTATCATCTAGATTTATTCTTTTTTTCCTGCTATAGTTTCATCTTTACTTTTCTAGTTAATTTTTCTTTCTCTCTCTCTCTCGCTCGCTCTCTCTCTCTCTCTCTCCCTCTCTCGTCCTCACACACGCACACAATAGATAAATTTTTCGTAATGCAAACACAGCACGCATGATCTTTTAAACATACATACGCAATTTCGACCTTTCTTTCTCTCTCCTATTCTCTCTCATTCATGGTCTCGCATGCATCGCACGCACGCACGCGAGCACATGCCTTAGTTTTTTAAATAATATTTATAAACACGCAATTTCGAAGTTTTATGAGAAAAATTCAACGAAAAATTGATCAAAATATTAATCGTTAAATGAAGAAAGAAAGAAAAAGTATACACTAAAAGAAGTTAAGAAAAGAGAGAGGGTAAAAGAAAGAATGGCAGACTTTCGCGCGTTAAAATGACGACTACGAGCGCGCGTTATTCGATTATTAATTATTATACGAGTCTTATATATTTCTCACTAATTGTTTGCTTCTTTCTTTTTCCCTTTCATTCTCTTTCTCTCCCTCTTTCTTATTTTCGTGTTTCAACGTTTTCACACATCGTTCAATAAAAAGAAAATACAATTAAATTGTTCGCGCATGTAGTACGAAATGAAAGGGCGGTCGCAAACGCATTTCTTCATTTATTTTAACCTCTAGTTATTTTTTTTTTTAATAAATAATTGGCTTCATTAATTACCAAATGGTTCGCAAAAATTGTCTACTAAAAATTTTTTTTATTAGATTTTTAGCGTGTACGTGTATGTTTCTTCTCTTTCTTTCTTTTTTTTTTTTTCTTTTTTTTTTTATCGCGAACGTCGCGCGTCAAACGTTTCGTGTCAAAATTATTCTTACACCGCGACTCAGGTACATATTAAGGCCCGTTCATCTTGTATTATAGCGGCATCTTACATTTGTTTCTCACTTTCGTTTTTATATGTTCGCTCTAGAGGAATATCGTTCCTTCGCATACAATTTTATGCCTTAAACTTGATCGAATCTTCCGCATGCGTGATGTATATAAACATATATACATACATACATATGTAGATACATATACATGTATATATATATTACACGTATTACAATTGCTATTCGCATTTCTTATTCTTGATTTTAATTACACACACAGTGTTTTAAGGGGGCACATTATCGCGGCTTTTCTTTTGCATATAAGTGTGGAAATACTTCTGCTTTGATTTGATTTTCTGTTTTCTTTTCTTTTCTTTTCTTTTCTTTTTTTTTTTTCTTTTTTTACTTTTTTCTTCTTTTCGTTTAAAGATTTCGACGCATGAGGTGTATGTACAGGATCACATGTAAAAAAAAGAATGAAATATAATACGTGACTACGATGTACATACGACGACGTTAATAATTATACAAGGATTTGAAAAAAAGTAAATCGCATCTCAGAATAGTATAACCGTATATATATATACGTTGGTTTCTTTTCTTTTTTTCTTTTCATTATTTCTTGTCTTCTTTTTCTACTCACATTAATTTTGTGTTATTCCTCCCTTTTTCACGTGTTATATTATATATGGCTCCTTTGTAAATAACATTCAAAATCATCACCATTATATTTTAATCGCACGATAGAAATGCGAGTGCTTTTTATCGCACCCAAATATTAAACGTTTAAACTTCGATAGATTAGTAGTACAGATATACTTACATATATATACATACATATGCTTATACATATATGTATATATACGATTAGTGGAGCGATTATCTTCGATCTTCGTTAGATAACTATATTACTCCTGTATCGCATATCGGCGTTCGCTAAGAGCATGATGGAGAAAAATGGTACATACGTACAGAACAAACGGTTGTTGATCATAGTTTATATGATATAACACACATATCGCCGTACGATATTTTGCAAGATTCATCTTCCTCGGCTATATCTCTTTGTATGCATGTATATATATATATATATATATATTCCTTCACCGACTTCGGCGTGCGCGTATTCGTGTTAAAGCATTTTTTTCTAGCTTTTTTTTGTCTTCTTCGTATCTTTTCTTTTTTTCTCTTTTTTACAATTGCGTCCGATTGGTTTTGGTATTAAAAATAACCTCGGAACGCTGTTCGACTTCTCGTTACTGAGTTTGACTCTGTACCTCCTGTGTCTTTAATACAAACTACGCAATACTCGTTTAAAAGTATGTATATTCTATCGAGTTGTTTTTAAATATTCCTCTTAGTAGTGTCGCACACAGCATGCTCTTAACGAACGCTTGGCACCCCCTGTTTTTCTTTTTTTTATTCTTATCTACATTCATTTTCTTTCAATGGATTGAAAAAATATCCGTTAAGAACGACACTTCTCTCTTCTACTTATACACATAAACGTTTTTGGAATTTTCGCATTAATTAGTTTTCCTGTGGAAGATCATAAGATCGTACCTCTCTACCTTTTTTTCTAAATAGTTTTAATATGGAATTTCTCTCACGTCTATCTCATAGATGATCGTCTTTCTTCTTCAAATTATTTACCTTGGCTATTAAATATTATCTGTAATGATACGCTACAACATTATGTATACGTCAAAAAATGCTATTCTTGTAGCTTGACCTTGACGTTCTCTTCTTCAATTTTTGGTTGTATTTAACCCTATTCTCACATACACCACCAAGGTACTGAGTTATATCTACTCGAAATTTACTTATTATTCTTCCTCACAGGGGTATCGATGATATTTGCTTGGGTGAGAGGAACGATCGGTATAAAATAAAGATCGCGGTGAGGATATATATACCTGATAGTTTAAGATTATCATTGTCAATATAAAGACGCGATTCCCTGCATAGTTTCCCCAACGAAGAAAAATCACAGCATAAATAAGTCATTCCTACCATCCGTCGTAAGGATTATAGAAAATCGTTCTCTTTCTCTCTTTCTCTCTCTCTCTTTCTCTCTCTCTCTCTCTCTTTCTAATTCTATCTCTATCTCTATCTTTCTCTCTCTCTCTCTCTCTCTCTCTCTCTCTCTTTCTTTCTTTCTTTCTCTTTCTCACATAATCATTGTAATTAATATTACATTGTAATTTGCGTTCAATTTGGACGTTTCGTCGTTAGAAAGACACGAGAGGTAGGTTTATCGATAGAGAATTAGGGATTGATCGTGTACTATACATCGGTAATCGAGCTTACGAACATCGATGATCCACGACGATCCATAACACCATTAACTATGTATTTCTCCCTTGGTTGTGCCACAAATCTAGTTTTGTGCATATAAGGAATAAGTCTTCCTTTAAGGAATGGTTTCAGATAAAGCATGATCGTTAAAGAAGGAACATTGATGCACGTTAAACTCGCAAACGTATAGCGCAATTGTAAATGCGAGCTCCGTATACATATCACATCCATAGAAGAACTGGTAATATCACGGCGCGATAGTACGGTACGACTATTTTCATCCTCTTTCTACTTAATAAGTTACATTTAACAACTAGCTGACGGATGGCAGTATGCGTTAATTAGATTTTGGACTATTAACTCATTATACGTATTCACCGCGTTGTGTACAAAAAAAAATCTTATAGAAAAATAAAGAATATAACTTTACAGCTGTACTTCTGAAAATGTTCTCCTTCCATAAGTGGTCGTAGTAATTAGTGGATAGTCCTCGGATGACATTTTCTTGGCATTTTTTCTTGGAAGTTACTTCTCGTCACAGAGGATAAACGGCATAATAACCTCCCTGCTGTCTCCGGCAAAGGGATTCAACACTACTGTTGGTAATTCTTCCCTACTTAAAGGTGCCCATTGTCTACCCATTATTTCTTGTATTTCCTATAATACAAAGGTAAATTATTATTATTAATTATGCAATATGTATGGAAAAATAACAGATTTACTCACATGAGTAATGGCATCAGTTTTGTGCCACGATTCGCTGTCAGACGCAATATCACTTTCCGCAAATATAAGATGTTCGAGTTTACTTCCTCTGAGACGTGCGATGGCTAATAGATTCTCTTGGTAATATTTGTGTCCTATGAACACTATTTCCACGAGATTAGTACACTTCCAAGCCACGAATACTAGAGGATCTGGGCTGTAATAGATTTAAAATTAATTTATCGTCATTGGTTATTTGCATTGAAAATACAATGCTAATTAGTTACCTATCTGGCTCGTTAGGGTCGTATGTAGCAGGAGTATTTACCGTCATATCTATAGAATCTATCCATATGAGAGATTTGAATGTATCAAAATACCAACTTGATAATCGATGTAGTACTTCTATATTAAATTTTTCACAGAATAATATTTTTAATTGTGTTAGAGGCATAGCAGGTTGAAGAATGTCCGTATGTAATACTTGTACACCAATGTAAGAATGTATGAGATTTAGTCGTAACTCACATTTGGGACTAAAAATAATTTTGATTAATATTAATCGAGTTAATGAGAAACTCTAGTCTTTGGAAAAATAGTAATATTTTATAGAATTACATAATCTTACTTCTTTTGAACAAACAGTTCCCAGCCTGCATTTGATGTTCCTAAGTACTCGCTATGCCAACCATGTACATGTATTACTAGCTTTCTCATAGTGCCACTGTCTAAAGCTCTGAGTAAGGCATCGTTAACAACGTCATAATCTACTGTTAAAACTGTCAATCTAATAAGTGATTTAAAATTATATTCTTCCAATTCTATAAAATCATAATGCTCTGGATCATCTTTGACAGATGCTAAACTGAGATGCGTTAAATGTTTAGCATGATGTAAAATTAATGGTTCTAAAATTAAATCAGCATTTGTTGCTAACTCTTCTATGTATCCTAGACTCAGAGCTTCCAAACGGTTAGATCTTTCAATAATTTTCGCAATAGATTTCATTAGGGACACACTGTTTGTTGGACTAGAAACATTTTTAAAAAAGGTCAGATTCACAAATGTATCTTTTAAATATTTGTAAAACAATATTTTCATGATTCTACCTGTTAGTCTCGCTTTCCATGTACCAATTAGGACTTTCATACATGTTACTACTGTATTCCAAGAATAATTTTCGCAATTGCCTATTACAGCTTAATTTTTTCAGGATATAAGAAGTTTCTATAATATCACTTGCTATGTCACATTTTATGGTTGCTTCGTGGACACTAAGTCCAAAACTATCTGCCAGACTTCTATAAAATTGTACAATTCAAATGTATATGAGATTGACAGTATAAATTTATCGTTAAAAGCTTGTATTACCGACCTAGACCATAAAATACTATCACTGTCTTTCAAAACAAAAGTGATTTTTCTCCAGAAAATCGGATGGAATAATGTAGTTCTCCAATTTCTACAAACCTACAAAAATTATTACAAATGCATTAGATTTGCATAAATTATACGAGATTTTACAATGACATATTGATATGTATAAGTATTTTAATAAGTATATTTTTGATTCTATAGAAATTATATGTACATATATACATATATATATATATATGTGCGCATACACACGCACGACATTACACTCATAGTGACTTTTAAAATATTAGTAATTAGAAAGAAATCTCGCGTGACAAGCATTTAATCGTTGTAGTTTATATACAATGAATAGAAAGGTCGAATTTCGTAAACATCAAACGGCTATGTGAAATATAATCGTTTGATTACCTACTGTGTCAGTTGACAGGAGAAAAAAAAACAAAAAGTAAAAGTATACCTGAGAGGCTATTATCCTGTTCTCATGAGATAAATACGAAAATATTTCTTGCAAAATAACACTGGGCAGATTGCTCCAACAGGAATTGTTGTCCTCTTGTTCCATTTCTACAGTACGATTAGGAGCTAAGCAAGGCGAACAGCTGTTTGCCTTTATCAAGGATAGCTGGCTCTCGCACTTTCTTCTCTCTTCTACTGTGTCACTTTCTTCGTGGTGTTTTAACTTTTCCAGCCAAATTCCACCTTCATTTCCGGCGTGTAGCATTTTAAGCCACTCGCTGGTCATCGTTATCTTTATTTATCTAGCTAAATCCTATTCTACAGTTCCTATCCGTTGTATTAGAAACTAATTCCCAAACCAAAATACGAACAAGGTATTGCGTTCAACTTGTAACTCCCAACCGCACCACCGTTCCTATGGTTGTGTTGGTCGTGTGTATTTCTCCCAATGATTCTCTACAAAACTCTCGTACCTGATTGGTCGACGTTCTACGCACACGTCAACTGAAATATGTCATTTTAAGCGAATCTTTTAGATTTTTGTTTTATTGTTTTTTCTTTTTTTCATAAGATCAATGAAATGACACATTTTTTAACGTTATAAATTTATTTCCACGTATTATTGTGGAAATTTCTTAAGGCAAATTGTACACGCTTATATGTATTTTGTATGATATTAATCCAAAGAAGAGGTTACTTTATGCGCAATATTTCGCGCGTAGCACTCACGCGCGTTCTGTCATGACATTCGTATTAAAAGCTATCTTTGAACTTGACCAAACATTCATACATCGTAGAACTTTTAAAACGATGATCAAGCTAGATCTGAATCTTTAAAAGGTTATAATCAATATAGTTCTGTTGCGGATGTGGAAATTTCCTGATTGGTGTGTTTAAATGATCCAATTGTTGAATATATTGTGGCCTTTCAACAGGCTGAAAGAATCGAAAAAATTCACGTACGAGAAATGCCAAAATGGCGTCTTCTCAGGACGCTTGGTATTTATCGTTGCTAGGTTTAGCTGAAAATTTTCGAACATCGAACCCACCGAATATTAAATCATGTATTCAGTGTCTTCAAGCTGTATTTCATTTCAAACCACCACCTCGGGTCGAAGCTCGTACTCATTTACAACTTGGGAATATTCTGCTTACCCATACAAAAAATATCGATTTGGCGCGATCGCATCTAGAACAAGCGGTAAGTTTTTGATCAAAACTTTATTGACTTTTATATTGACTACTTTTTCTATTAAGGAATTTTTAAACAGTCCTCCTTCTTACATAATCTATTATTTATTTTGAGAACTACATAACAATGATTCCTTTTCTAACCTCTTTGTATGTTTTGATAACAATATTATATATGTTATTATCAACAAGCGTTTACAAATATTGTCAAATGAACATTATTTTCAGTGGCGTTTAAGTCAAAATATAAACACCTTTGATGATGTTAAATTTGAAGCAGTAAGTGTAGTAGCTGAATTGTACGAACAACAGCAACAGCCAAGTTTAAGTAAACCAATATTAAGAAAGGCTATAGAATTATCTCAGCATAATGTTTATTGGCATTGCAGACTTATATTTCAATTGGCGGTAAGTTTAATAATGAATTGTGTTTTTTTATAATATATCATATTAATTATTTATGTTATATGTACTTTTAGCAAATACACACATCTGAAAAAGATTTTGTAGCAGCCAATGGTTTACTGAGCGTTGGCGTTGATTATTCACATCTTAGTAATGCAAGTTATACGCGTGTATTATTTTTATTAAGTCGATGTATGGTCTTATTAATAGATAAACAGTTTACCGAAGTTCATGCTCTTTTAAATTCGGCTGGTCATCATGTTGAAAATTGGCAAGGAAGTTCGTACCAAAAAGAATACTTGAAAGTATATTATTTGGTGCTTCAAGTTTGTCATTTTCTTATGGCTGGACAGGTAATGACTAAATCATTATTATTATTATCTATCCATTTTACATTTGTTGACTTACTTTATATTAAATTTTTATTATGAAACAGGTAAACAGTGTGAAGTCTTGTTTAAAACAATTACAACAAAGTATACAAACGATCATGTCTCCTAACTGGCCAGCGGATGATGTAGTTACAGGTTCTAATATAGGAGATATGTTTATATGGATGCCAAAGGATCATTTATATGTTTTGGTTTATCTTGTAACTGTTATGCATTCCATGCAAGCTGGTTATATGGATGAAGCACAAAAATATACAAATAAGGCTCTTACTCAAATTGAAAAATTAAAAAGTACTCATATAAATATATTACAAATTTTTTGAAATTCATTAGTGCGATGTTGCAATTTTATATAATTAAGTTACTTAATTGTATCATGTTTTAATTCACAGTCGTTGACAATAAGCCGATACTCTCTGTCTTTCAACTCATGTTATTAGAACATATAGTTATGTGTCGTCTTGTTATGGGAAATAAAAGTGTGGCGCTTGCGGAAATAGCTCAGGCATGTCAACTTTGTAGGCGACAACCAAGATTACTACAAGCCCATCGACCGCAACTGCATGCTCTTTTGGGATTATATGCAATGTCTATGAATTGTATGGAAGCTGCTGAAGCTCAGTTTACAGCTGCTCTTAGGGTTAGAGGATAAAATAATTAAACAAGCTGTTAAAGTGATAAAGTAAAAAAAAATAATTTAAATATAAAGTTATGAGAATTATAAAGAGCTATTGTTGATATATATAAACATATATATTATGTACCTTAAAATTTGCATGTGTGTTAAAATAATATAGAATTATATGTTACAGACATCTCAAGAACGAGAACTGTGGACATTTGCCAATTTAAATCTGGCCATAGTATATCTCAGAACAAAAAGAGACACAGAATTGGGTGCTTTAATGGAAAGAATAAATCCAGAATCCTTACCATCACACTCACATTCCTTAAGAGCAGCAGCATACTATGTTCAAGGTCTCCAAGCTTTTTTTGGAGCTAGACATAATGAAGCCAAGTACGTAATTTGTGATCAAATGTAATTAAAGTATTTAAAAATATACATTCTATATCGGTTAAACATTTTTTTTAGGAGATACCTAAGAGAAACATTGATAATGGCAAGCGCAGAGGATTTAAATAGACTAACTTCTTGTAGCCTTGTTTTGTTAGGACATATATTTCTTTCATTAGGAAATAGCAGAGAATCTATGAATATGGTAACACCGGCTATGCAACTTGCTTCCAAAATACCAGATGTGCATGTACAATTATGGGCTACTGCTATTTTGAAAGGTAATTGAATATAATTAATATACCTTACATATATAAATAAATATAATTTTATATATTTTAATTTATCTTAAAAATTTTAGATTTGTATAGAATTTGTGGGGATCCTAATCGTGAAAATGAAGCATATCAAATGCATTGTACATTTTCTCAAACCCTTTTGAAAGACCACTTTCAAAGTACACAAATGAGTGAACATGCTCTTATTCAGTGGACAGATGGTCCTATACCTGTTTTGCCAAATGACCCACCACCTTCCACATCTCAAACAATTCTTCAATAAAATTAAAAAATACCAATTTTGCTTATTTACTTAAAGTATATGGTTGTTAAAATGTGAAAGTATGTCAGATTTGTGTGATAGTGTTGCTGAATGGTCATTATGCAAGAAAGGAAAAAAAACTAATAGTGCAAAACTTAATACATAAAAAGTAAGTTTGTTATATATTTAGAATTCATTTCATAGAATGACATGTGTTGATTCTATATTTAATATGGAAAAGTTATTTGGGCTATCAGAAGGGCGTTTGAATTATTATTATTTTTAGAAAAATGTAATATTCTTTAGTATAGATTCCTTCTATAACATTTATTTCAAATTTAGACGATATGAACAGAGAAAAACGCACATCCTGATAAAACAGATGTATAGAAAATTAAAAAAAAATTGGTTAATTTTAAATTATATTATGTCAAGTGAATTTAATGGAATATTACATGTAATAATATTCTATATATGTTAGATATATTAAACTTCGAATATTCTTAATTTTTATTAATACAGTAAAAATATTTTTATCATTAATTTTATATGTAGCTTGCTATTATGCTAAAAGAGTTAATGTTATTATATTTTAATTTGTATTAGAAAGAGATTTAGTTTTAGATTAAATTAGATTAATTATTGCAGGGTTAACATGATAACATTATACCAAAGTAAAGTAAGTTAAAATAACATTGACAATGATAATGATAGAAATGATAATATTCAAGATAATCAATAATTGATAAACATTGCGATTACCAGAATGACTGATGAGTGTTCTCTGTATTAGTTTTATTCAAAATGAGATACAACTTATTTTATATAATAGTAAAAATGTACAGTAAATTTTAACACAATTTAAGATAAATATTTTAATAAATTTCTTATAGAATTTTGTAAATTCTAACTTTTCTCTGATAAGAAAAAGAGTTTTATAAAATAAGAAAGTAATATATTTACTAAACTCATTTTGTGTGTGCATTAATTTAATTTCTTAATACGAATTTAATCGAAGAACATCTTATTTATTTTTTCAAACGCTTTTCTGACATTATCTGTATTGCAGCTTTTTCCACTATTAAATATGTGATTCAATCTTCATTTTTTTGCAGTCTGTATCTCTTTTCTTTTTTTTATCACACCATGTATCTGATACATATCAAGATTCAAAAATTGTATATGGTGTGGTTAGTAGTTGGCAGAATGACAATAATGTATTTTATTTTAATCTCTTCTGGTATGTTTATTAAAGTAGCCATTAAAACTATAGGCTGTGGTGAAAATGGATGGTTAAGATATATTCACTGATGCATTTTTGTAAATTGGAACATAGTTATACCTTGTATAACAGTACCTGCAAAATATTTTGTAAAAAAATGTTATAGTACTTATAGCATATATTAAATGCATACAAGAGCGCATGTATCTTGTGTGATAATTCTTGTTTGATATGGGTTCATATATGTATGTAGGGTAAATATTACTGCACATAATATAATATAAAATATACATATATATATACATATGTATATATATATCGATGTGCAAATATTAATTCTTGGATTATAGTCACTCTTTTCACTAAAAAATTAAATTAAAATGTTTAATCGATAGGAATTGCTTTATATTCTAATAAAATATGCTATAGTATAGAAGTATGCAAATAAGTATAATAGGAAAAAAGATTAAGGGGTAGGTTATTAGAGGCAAGATTACAAATTACAAAAGAACTTGATCAATGCTAATACAAGCAATACATAAACATAGTGTATGGGGCCTTAGTAGATTATAAGAAGTGATAAATTTTGCCTAAATCTACTTACTCCAATAAATTAAATGTTCATCATGTATATATTCTCAAAATTACAAAGTTGTATTAAGTATGCTATATACAAACGAAAATATAATTGAAACCATAAACTAGGAACATCATGTAAAAATACTTCTTGGTTTTAATGTAATTAAAGTGTAACCAAATAAGTTGTTTATTAGAATCGACTTTTACTTTCTAGTTCCTACATTACTAAGTTTTTGCTTCTAATGTGACTACAAAAAATACATATATAAAAAGCAATGTATCTAAACGATAAATTTATTTCAAAAATATTTATCATATAAACGAAATTAAGATATAACGCATAAAAATCTTTGTATTTTCTTTTTTATTAGATATATAGATATTTTTGTTACACTTAAGATAAAGAAGCTAAAATATAGTTATAGTAAAATTTAGAAATTTACTGCAAGTTTTAACTTATTAATTGTCTATATAGTCTATAATTTTTAATAACTTATATATTTATTACTACAGTGTTGCATTATATTGTGTACACTACTTTCTGTACCAATTTTGTGTAACCTTCATTCTCTTAATTTTTTTCTGTAGTTGCAAAATTCCATATAACAATGCTTCAGCAGTAGGAGGACAACCTAAGAAGAAAAATTCATAAATTAATAAATACATATATTTATATAGAATGGTACATTCATGACTTAATCTATGATTATTTAGTGAATTTTTACCAGGTACATATATATCAACAGGAATAATTCTATCGCATCCTCTGACTACAGAATAACTATAATGATAATATCCACCACCATTCGCACAACTACCCATTGAAATAACCCATCTTGGTTCTGGCATTTGATCATAGATTTTTCTTAGTGCAGGGGCCATTTTATTGGTCAGCGTACCAGCAACTATTACAACATCTGATTGTCTAGGTGATGCTCTGAAGACAACACCATATCTGTCCATATCATAACGAGGTGCGGCAATGTGCATCATTTCTACGGCACAACATGCTAAACCAAATGTCATTGGCCAGATTGAATTCTTACGAGCCCAATTTAAGAGATCATCTACTCGGGCTAAAGCATATTCAACTCCATTACTGGTATTCTGGAAAGGACTGTATGGTTCTTTCTTTGGTTTTTGTGGTAATGATGGATCAGATTTTTGAACTGCAGTACTCATTTGTTTAGCCAAATTTTCTGTAACAACAGGACATGACAGCATAGCTCCATTATTACGAGCAAGGGACAGCAGTCCTTGCTGTAAATTCTCTGAAAAAAAAATGATGTCAATAAATATATATGATAGAAGGGTATATTTATCAATAAATGAATTGATAGCATATAAATAGATTTTTTGAAAGACATGAAAAAAATTATGTGTAAGTAATATTAATAATTTTTAATGTTAATATAAATTTGTAACATCTGGTGCAAAAATCCATAAGTTTATTTATAATATAGATGAAAAATGTTGCAAAAGACTTTGCAACTCGTGTATAAGATCTGTATAGATACGTGACAATACTTTCTACTTTTGTATATACATATATCATGTAACACAGTTGCAGTTTTAACGACACTTGCATTTAAAAAGTTGAACCAAAAAATATGTAGTTTATTTCATTCGAATCATTTCAATGAAATAACTAATTAAAGTTTACATTGTGAGTAATATTAGATACATCATTAAATATATGTTAAATAAAAATATATCATGCGAGAATAACACCAAATATAGGGTATGTACAATGTTGAAAAGTTATTTTTAACATGTGTAATTACGCAAAACTCACGATTGAAAGTTATAGAACGTATCATCGTTATAACCCTCATTGCTTCACAAAGCTGTCTGCTACATTTGATGGTTTCAGACTACTTAAACATAGAACCATAGCGGCAACTACTGGTAATCTTTAGTACTGTGATTACTGCATCACTTGTAAGCAAGTTCAAGCGATACAAGATGGTTATATATAGGGTGTTCCCCAGTTCTTTCTGAAAAATTTTGCCATTATGTTCGATAAATAAAAATAAAACAAATATGTTTTATATAAACATGGGCTTTTAAATGTTTTATTAAAAATTTATAACAAAAATAGGAAATAAAAAAGGGCTGCTTTCTTGTTTGATACTACATATGAATAAATTGTCGGTTTAAATTATAACTTCATTTAAAAATTTTATCCGTTATTATGAATGCAGGACTGGTATCTCTGCAAAGAATATATAATAATTTATTTTATTACTAATTTTTTTGTCATTTTAATTAATTGGAGTCAATACGTCATGAATTTTTTACGTTAAATATGCGCAATAATTATTCAAATAAAAAATAGTTGGAATGTTAATTTACATGTTAAGATACGTTATTTGAGGATGAAACCATTGACAAATTTATTAATTTCTTTTATTCTTACCAATTTATAAGACAAGTTTTATATCTTTTTATTAAAATATATTAGAGGCTTTCTTTATGAAAATGAGTAATTTGTGTTATATGTTATATTCTAATATTACGTATGACTATTTGTATATTGTTTTATAATTTAATTTTATATGTAATCGCATGCACATAATATCTTGCGCACAACTCTTTGCGCACAACTCTGCGCACATCACTTTGCGCACAACACTTTCCGCGCAACATTTTGCGGGGAATGTTTTTCTATTTCACTTCATTAATTAACTGCTATATACATATGTAGGTTATATTGAAAATAGAGTTCTAGTTATTTTTAATTGTATTAATGGCTGAATGTAAATAATTTTGTATTTCAACAGATACTATAGTTAAACAATGAACATGTGAATGCATCATACAGGATATGAGAAAAAAATGATTTCCAAGTAAGTTCTTTATAGAATATTTTTTATTTGCTCGGTTCCTGTTTTATACAAAACATCTAACAAACACAGATGCTTGTCGCTGAAGTGCTTTTAAAGTTTTTCTTTTACGGAAGCAACTAATCTATCGACTTTGCATTTATCGAACGAATCTTTTGTCACTTTTCTCGTTGGATATGCTAAAAAGATAACTCGCGCTTGTTGATTGTATTTGTGTATATAAATATGTATGTAGTATATGAGCGTGAGTGTGTTGTATGCATGTATATTTGTGAAGGAGTGTGAATATGTTTGTATGTAAGTATGTTGTATATAAGTATGTTGTATGTAAGTATGTGTGTTTGTTGATGTAAGTGTGAATGCGCTTGTATATATTATATATATGTTTTTAAATGACGCATTGATCTTTCGTAATCGTCGATCTTAAAAGTTCGTAATAAAACGTGGAATTAAATACTTTAACGCTATGCAAAATAAAAAATATTTGTAATCAGAGGACAAGAGGTCTGCCAGGGGAGGAACGGCGAGAGGGGAGAAGGCGCGTGCTAGGCCATATATAATTAATTTCATAAGTTCGTGGTTTGATATTTCTTCGTCGCGCAATTCGATTATATACAAATAGAATCGAGCCTGAAAATTCGTCGCATTAAAACTCGATGTATTAAAAAAAATATTATAATCTTCATCAAGTAAGAAATTGTTAACATCAACGTTAATGAAAATAGAAGCATTTCGATTTTTTCGAAAAATTCCAGGAAAACGGAAATAGACGCTCGCGTACTAAGTACGGTGCGACCTGTAGCACGTTTACCTTCTTTTTGTTTTCCCTTAACCTCTCATGCGTGTGTGCATTATACGATATAGCTTTCTGTTAGAAATTTACTTAGCGAACGCTCGTTGAACGGTTTACCCGTCAACGTCTAGTTAACAGTAAGTAACAACTTATATTTCAGCAACAATAACAATTTCACCTTCGGTGATCTTCCAATCGGAATTTCGCTACCAACGTGTCAGCTATCTGGCATGTACTTTACAAATATCTAAATATTATTGTATATATATATATATATATATTATATAATATTATTATTATATAATATATATATGTATTTTATGTTTTAGCTTATCTTAAGTATTCCACAATTTCGTGGCGGTAAGGGCTTCTTTGTAACGCATTACGCCTGATTGACGTTAGTTTTACTCTTTTACGCATCGTATATTTATTTTTATTATTTTTCCTCTTTCTCAGCAGGTCAATTTTTAATAGAAGGACAAATTTGTTAACTTGGAAAGAAGTAGGATAAACGCGTTAACGTAGATAAATCGACGTTACAAAGAAGTCAATAGTTAGTTTATTACTCGCTCGTGGACTTACAGCAAAAATGACGGCACTAGCAGGACGTTTACAGCTTAACGAGATATTTCTCTCTATTAACTTTGCAAAGAGACTATGATCTATGTTAAAACGTGAATCTCTAAGAATGGTATGTGGTGTAGGATTTGTTTTCTATGGACGTCTCTACTGGAACGGTGTTCCGTAATCTCGCGCAGATTCGTTATTTTGTGCGACGTTCCTTTGTTCCATTCTCGTATTCTCTTTCTCATATTCTCTTTCTCTTTCTCATTTTCTTTCTCTTTTTCTTCCTTTCATTCAATCTCTCATTTTATTACCAATCACTATCATCATCGTTGAAACAATTTTTTCTTCAGAATCCATCGGTATTTTTTGTACAACAACACAAAAACGTGCTTAATCTCATTCTCTCTCTCTCTTTCTCTTTCTTTCTCTTTCTCTTTCTGTTATCTTATCTTTTATATTTTTTCTCTTATGTATCGCGATCGCGTACACGAATAATTCTACTTATTAGCGGTAAAACAAAATTCGAAGTTTCCGAAGCGTGTTCTTTAATGATTCATTCTGCGTATCTCCATGGCTGCGATGTCGTCCACAGATATAAGCTTTTCTATGGGAATGCAAGACAATTCACCACCGACGCATGACTGAGGTTGTTGCCATCTAGCTTCCCTTTCTGCTTCCTTAGCTTTAAGTTCAGCCTCTCTTGCTCTTCGTTCCTTTAATTTCAATGAGAAAATAGCGACAGAGCGTGCCCTCTTCATAAGACTCTGTTTAACTCTCGTTTTCTTTGCTTCCCGATCCTCCCTACTTGGTTTCTCTTCCTCTTGGCTGGAAATTGTCTTGCTCGAATCTGACAGACCACCTACACCCGAATCCTTTTCTTTTTCGGGAACGTACGCTTGTCGATCACGATGTTCGTGTGTTGTTTCTCTTTGCTGATGATGCTGATAATATTGCTGTTTCTCGATCTTTTCTCGTTCTTTCTCTTTCTCCGGCGAGAAACGGAACTTTGGATTTCTATGAGTTATCACCCATGGTGGTGCAGACCTTAACGATCATAAACAAACAAACAAACATTTATCAGTTATAGATGCAAATTAGATTGTCCTTAAAGTCTCTTGCTTTTTTTTTTTATGTTAGTAAATTTTATATGTACGATATTTCTTTTTGTCCTATTACCTTCCTTTTTTTTTTATAGAGTAGAATGGATATATATGTATATGGAAATAAAAAATGGAATAAAAAATATAATGCATATAAAACTTACTAATAAGAAAAAACAAGAAAAACCCTTAGAACGAAATAATATTTATCTATAATCTCTAATTTGTACTTTAATAGATCACTGTCCGAGGACGAAGCTAAATCCTTTGAAACGATGCAATCGGTTGATCTGTGGAGAGTTAATTCGTCAGCAGTTCCGGCTACAGAGCCAACCCCACTTATTTCGGAATCGCTCGATTTTCGTCCACCTGGTTCCAAGCCTAATTTGCGTACCCAATCGACACCTCCGTGAGGACCGATCGTTAAATGATGACTGTAGTGATCTCCTGTGTTCGATGATTCTGGTTCGTTGTTTATCCACTCCCTTGATCGTCGGCCTGTTATAACGAGTAACACGAAATAATATGATTCTTTGATTTGTTTAACACGTTGATTGCCGACACTTTTTTTTCTATTATGGGATGCATATTTTGTTGAAATTTTTTGTACAACTGTGTTTTATTTATTTTTTATGGTGAGATCACTGGTGACCTCACGGCAGTTAACGTATTAAAGGATTTTCGAAACTCTGATATTAGGAGATATTCGAACCTCTCTCTCCTCCAGGTATGGAGCATCTCGGTGTATTATGAATATCTCGACTACTGCCAATATTATTTTCCGAAAGGAAAGAATTGCTGATCTCGCTGCTACTTCCAATACTACCGGGTGTTTCGGCTGTAAGCGATGGTGTCTCTGCGATTCTCGGTATGGAAGCGGCACTTGGAGTAGATGGTCTGCTCGGTGTTTGGGTTGTTGAAGCTAAAGTAGGTGTATCTGGTTGGCTGGGCAGCGAGGTCTCTCCGGTACGTTCGTCCAACAGGTTTTGCTCTTCGGTTTCTCCGTCTGCTGGACTCACCACGAATCTCCCTGAGTTTGGGCAAGATTAATAGCTAATAGGAGAAGGTTCAGGACTAATGGGACGAACTTGGGTTAGTCCCACCGTCGCATAGTATGACCAAATCCCGAAAATGTAGAAAAATCATAGGAATATGTTTAGTGGATCTCATAGGGTCTATATTTCAACTATTTTTAATAGATAAATACTTGTATGTAAACCTGTAAATTATCAGTTGAAACGTAAGCGTCGAGCGTATTACATCTGTCTGACTCGTTACACCCCGAAAATTCCGGTCCTTTAAAACAAATATAATGCACTTAATATTTGTCAACATATAAATATGGAACCTTTGCTTGACAATAAGTATAAATGAATTATGTTTCTCAAAATTTACATAAATAATAAATGTAGTTGCTAATAAAGAGTAGGATGGCTTCATGTTTTTCGTCGATGTGGTATGAGAACAATTTTTTTCAAACGAGTTTAAAGTTACATATTGGATCGCATTGAACGAGATCTCTCTGATTAGGTTTAAATTATTTATTAAAAAATAAAAACCTGCCTTTATTTGCCTTAATAGTTTTTATCCACGATCTTGTATGCTAATGCACAACCGTGCTTGTCAAAATCTTATAGTTTATCCACCATTTTATGTAATTACAAAAAAATATAATTACGAATGTAAATTTTAACTACAAATATTCGAAAAAAATTAAGCTAACATCTTCATATTTTTTTCACTTCTTCGAGATTTCGGAACACTGTGCGTCGTTTAGCTTAGACCTTCTCATATATAAGAGAGACATATATCTCTTCAACGTGAACGTATATTTACCTATAATAGTAGATGGTTGTTGTTCAGGTGACGGTGTCGAAGACAATCTTCTCACTGCCTCTCTTCTTAAGAATTCAACTTTAGCCATTTCCGTGGCAACCCAATGTGGTATATCAGGTATGGCACAGGTGATGATAAATCTGATTGCCAACATAATGTGTTCCAGAGCGACTATCAACAAAATTGTTTGCGTCGCTGACATCTCTGGAAACATACGTTGTACTTGTCCGCTTCTACCGATTAACGCGCAATTAACTAAAATTGCGACAAATCCCATAGCTTCCATAGCGTTCTATAGAAAAGTATACATATGCCGTGATATGAAATCGATTAGAAAATTATGAATGGTATATAGGTACACACACACATACTTGTAAAAAAAAGAAGGATCGATTTACCTGCCAAGTGCCGATATTAGAAACTCTACGCCCGAAAGGTCGTTGAAGCACGTAACACAATTTAAATGCGTCTCCTCGTAATTCGATCAGGTTACCAAGTAATGCTGCTACGGCAGCTAAAGGAAACGCTGACGAGAAGAGACACACGTATCCTAATTGTGAGAGCATTTCCAGATGTTCAGAAAATGCTCGATCGTACTGTAAATAAAATGTCATTTTTTTTTTTTTAACACAGATATATTTATCAATAATAAAGCAAACGAATTGTACTTTCGCTATCGCGATATCTTTTATATTGTGCGATTTTCTATTTATCTATCACATGCTATTTTTGCGTGTAATTTGCGTTCTATTAACGATCATGCATGACACTATTTAAATCGCAGTAATGGCATATTTAAGATAACCAATTATTAGTAACTACATATGTGAAATATGTTTTTTTTTTTTTTATACGTGATCATGTACTTAATTCTTTCTATTAGATTGAATAAAAAGTCCGTTCGCCTGGAGGGTGACTCGTTAATGTATAATAATTTGATACATTTGCTTATATTGATTACAACCGATAAACGTATCTCATTAGGGACAGCCTAAAGATGTTTTGCGTAGTATTAGCCAGTTTTTTTTTTTTGGTAGTGTTCGAATCATAATAAGCACTTAAATATGAGCAAAGAAAATATTCATTTATCTATATAAGGGATAATATAGAATAGAGGAAATGATTTGGTAGGAGAGAAGCAGTTTTTAAGGGTTTCCAAATTACAAGGAACTAACGTCCTAACGACCTTCGATACATTATTACGATATATCAAAGATTTCAATATTTTCAAAGATCATGCATGTTTCCGTTTGAATAGAATCGAATGACTATAGTTACTGCAGTATTCCTTTTCTTGCACGAGTTATCCGTTAGTGCGTTCTTAGGGGAACTCTGATTAGGTACATCGAAAATATAAAAGGAATGAAGAAAGAAAAAAATGGCTAAATCTAAATCAAACCTTCAAAGTAACGTCACTAAGAAGAGAATTAGTGGTGTGTCCTACTCTGTAGAGAGAACTCTCCAACTCAGCTTGGCTAACGTTCCTCGGTTGTTTCGTCTTTCCACTTTCTGCTCGTTCATCCTTCTCATCGGAATTCTTTATTTTTTCGTCCTCCTCGTCCTTACCAGGTGGTAATCTTGCTTCGCTTGGACTCAGAGCCCCGAAAAGCTCGAAACTCAATTGCGCTAGCCGTAGTTGCTCTATCAGATATGGTATTGCGGATTCTTTAAGATTTCCAATCACTTGCCGAGCTATTAGTAACGCGGCCAGTTGCTAAAAAATAAAATATCATACCTTTTCGCTAGTTATTTAGCATTTTCTTCTTTTTTTTTTCGTTTATTTTTCTTAATATCTCATGAATAATTCAATTGTACATTAATGATTCATTAAACTTGTATAGTCGTAATATGAAGAAAATTACAAATATTAATGCATGAATATTGGACAATATAGTTAACATAAAAAACATTAAACATTATTTATTTTTGCAGGATGAATCATATGTACAAATGACAACATTTATACAAAAAAGCAAATAATTTATCGAATCTTAATTCAATATTATGTAATGGATTGTCTCTGAAAAATGTTAATAAAAAAAGAAAAGATTCAAAAACAATATTTTTATATTTTATATAAATTTAAATATATATATTCAACTTTCATTATATTTTAAAATATATATCGAATATATATTTATTATTCGATACGCGAAACTTTCGGACAACTCAGTGCAATATACAATGCAACGTAATATTTCGTGTTTACAGTATATGATTTATATGCATGATGTTATCATATCTATGATATTTTTTTAAGTTATGTGCACGACAATATGATGCTATTCTAGATAATAGTAAATGTTCATTTATAAGGATTAAGAGTGAGTTCAAAGTTATCAACAAGTAGTGAGAATAAAGTGAGAAAGAGAGAGGGTTCCTTACCTCCTTGAGTCTTTCTTGGTCTTGAAGATAGAAGGCGATGTAAAATAACGATAGGAAGGAGTTTACGAACTGAAACTGAAATGAATAGTTTTGTCTGTACACTCGCCACACACACACACATACTTCAGAATAAATTATTATTTTTTTATATTTTCTTCCCCTCTTATTTTTTTTTGTTTTTTTTTTTTTTTAAGTGTCAAATACATATTGTACACGCATGGACATACATATATTTATTATTTGCATTTGCATACGTATATACGTACGGATATCACACATATATAACACGCAAAATAGATATCTCTATATATATATACTATTATAAGATTATAAAGTAAAGCGTTTATTACTGATAAATGCTATTAGAAAAAAAAGCGCAAGCAGAGAGCGAATTTTGAAGTAGGATTTTCATGCAGCGATAGAGGCAGCCACGATAAGACATTTATTTAGTTATCATAACTAAAAAAATAAAATGAAGGATCTAATCTTACTTTATAAAAGGTCCACCTCTAAAATCACTACACAATTATTTTTATTATTTTTTTGTTTTTCTTTCTTTTTTTTTTAATCTGTAATCATCTGATTAAACGTGCATTTCTATTATCATTAATACGAATATTATACGGTTCAAGACAATAGTTATACGTACCATATGATTTACTTATTGTTAACTAGAGCATAGTTAATTTGCAATGATTTTGAATAAATTTTTTGTTTTTTTTTTATTTTATTACCATGACATCGCAAAAGCGCAAGACTTTTGAAATTCAAAAAACGATAATATATTGTGTCGTTTGAGAGAAGCTCGTGAAATAATATCCGATTTAGAGGAGGACAAAATTGACGATACTAATACAACATTCATAATTTGCGTTTGACTTGTCAAAAAATATCTCATTACCAGTGCCACCTTGTAGATCAGATGATTCTCGTACTCGGTGTCTAGTCGATAGTTTTCTGCGTCCAACACACAAAAATCAAAGATACTATCTACCATAGACTATTGATAGGCGTTCTCCACAAAAGATGTATAAAAATAAAGTAATAAAGATAATATAAATAAACCCACAATATACCCGAATAATTTGAGAATTATTCTTTAACGATAATAGAGAAATAGAGAGTAGATACATGTTGGAAGTATATACACAATCGGAAAAAGAGACTAGCTTTTTAGTATCGTCTAAGGATATATCGTACTTTCTTGATCGTTCTTTCTAGATAGAAGCTAAGCCGTGAAAAGAGATTTAGAAGTAAATATGCTAGGCCTCTTAGCTAGACGTGCACAAGTGTGTGTATATATATATATATAAAAATATATAAATTTATATATATTATATATTTATTATATATTTATTATATATTTATATATTTATATATTTATATATTATATATATATGGTAGATATAAGTACCCGTGGATATAATAAGAAAGATCATTATAAGACAATCGATAAGATCTTGCTCGATCGTTTAATATTCGTATGGATCGGCCGCATTCGTAACGGGACGATTATATTAAAAGATACGTATAGTCTAATACGTTTTTATCTTTTTTTTATTTTGTCTTTATATACATACCCAAATCATTCAACCAGACTGCGACTTTGAAGTACGCTTCATCCATTAAAGCGATTACAACGGCCAGTAATACTTTTGGCACGTAACTCAACCAAAATCCGTAACCTCCGGCTTCAAGACGTGCATCCCACCAATCCTAATTATAGAAATATCGTGAAGATTTCGATTAATCGGTGAAATTACGGTGATAATTAGACTAGCTTCTCTCTCTCGTTGTTACAAATTTATACAAAGTTTCTCAAAGTAAATGTATACACGCTTTATTAATCGCTATTAGTGACAATAATAATATTGTATTTTACCTGTATTTGGAAGCTCAGGATCATGACAACGAAGACGAAAAATAGACAAGCGGCGATGATGGGTACGCTGACAAAATATCGGAAAACATTCCTTCGCCATCTTGGATAAGTTGGTTCCAATCTTCCCGTGACAGGTGATATTTCTAAAGTCCCCTATCAAATGATATGTCATCCGATAAACGACATATTTATTATTTGTTTTCATTGATATATAACCACCATTATTATCCATCGAAATGTTTACCGTAAAGAGAGGTCTAGGTTCGACCAATAAATCATCTCTTTGATCCAATGTACCCCATCTGTAGGCCAATTCAGCTCCTCTTCGTTTCCAAGTTTCCAGGTAAACTGTCGCCCAAATCACATTGAAGACTGAGAAAAGCACGTATGCCACGTCCTCCACCGCTTGGTTCCTACCGATGATGCCGACCTTAAGAAAAGTTTGATTATAATTAATAAAATCAACACTTGTGTTTTTTCTTCGTCAATATAACGACACTTGTAACTTTGTACTTTACTTAGAATTAATAATCTTTGCAATAACGTCTAATGATCATCGGACACATTCGGTATAAAGTTATAAAATATATATTAATATAGTAGGATATATCAGGTTAGTGTATATGATGCGCTGAGATAATATTAACAATAAGTATGTATTTTATTTTATATTTCAATAAATTAAATTTTCTATATAATATTTACCCAGTATATGACACCCACAGCAGCGGGAACGATCAAAGCGGTGGTGTAGTGTCCGAGCCATGCGAAATACATGCTGATTTTCACTCCAAAATATTTACAAATTTCGTCCAATGGTTGGGGACTAAAAAATGCACGAACCCACGTCTTTCGTAATTGTTCTAGTGCCGGTAGTTCATGTAATGGGAAGACCTGTTTTTGATTGAGTTTTTAATCAAGTATTATACGTCAATATAAAAATGAAAATAAATATGGGAATACGTTTTTATATTGACCTGTGAGATAATGCTTGCCGAGATACACTTTGGAATTATGGCTTGTCCTTCCACTAGTTTTAATCCTGATAAACTGTGGAGATCCTGCGGACCTGCTCTTAACGTATGAAGTAAGTGTAATACCAGGGACTGTCTTTCTTGAGTAGTAAAAAAATGAGCTTCGTCGTCGCTTCCTTCGAAGCAGCTCGCTTCCGAACCTACGAATTCCTTCAATCCTCCGCCATATTCTTGGCGTAGAGCCTTTGGCAAGTGTACTTCCTCTGCAGCTTTCAACAAACTACAAGATTTGTTTTTTTTTCATACCGATGCATTTCGTGCAAGAGAAGAATATTCGATCAGGTAAGAGATATTCAAAAAGAATATTTTTGAGAAATCATATATATGTTCCAGTAATTATGACAGTGGAATAATGTAAGTCAAAAAATAGAAAAAATTGATTTCAAGGTTTATTATATATTAGAATAATTTAATATAAAAATCATTATGATCTGTTTGCTTTAAGTATAAAAAATATTTACCGAAACTTTTCAAAGAAATTGCAAAGATGCACAATTTACAGCATTGCATTCTCTGACATTTTCTGAACTTTACATGCTAAATTTATAACTCGATATCGTATTCTACGCGTAGACAAAAGTATATTAGAACGTATAAGGTGTTATACAAGTTGCACAGAAGAAAGGAAACAATTTCAACTGCATAAAATCGAAGGGTAAAGTATCAGGATAAGTATAACGTTTCCTGAACATTCTAACGAGTCCAATGTTGAACGGACAATAAGACAGCTTACTACGTACTTACACGCTAAAAGGTGCAGTTAAGTAAAATCCGTAACTATCCGAGGAGGCATGATGCCTGACGTGAACCACTAGGCCAGGGGTTCCAGCCCGAAGTCGACCTAAAAGCCACATTAAAGTTTCGTCGCTTGCACCATTCGGAAACATCATCACGACGTCGCATTTCTATAACATAAAGGAACATCAAAAACCTATCAGTTTTCGATCACTTTCTCAGATACTGTAATTCACTCCGTCATTTATTATTACGATACTTTTAAACGATAACACGTTTCCTTTATAACGTAGCCACGATAACTGTGAATGATTCTAACAACTTTGATATGGTATATCGCTTTGAACCGCGAATGTTGCCAATGGGTTACGGCTTTTTCGTGGCCTGGCTGTCATCCAAATACATAGAACAGTAGCAGGTTGCCTGATATTGGCATATATCTATTAACTACTACATAGAATACTCTTTATACGACCGTCACGTTGATGAATATCGTACCGATCGCATATATAAGAATGTTCATATACTCATATATTCGTTGAAACTTTTTATCCTTTCTTTTCTTTTTCTTTTTTTTTCCTCTCCTCTTATCTATTCTTTTATCAATGTCTACACGTTAAAGTCACTCGCATGAGTTGATAGAAAGTTTTGTTGAAGTTACTCAAAATCAATATATAAAAGCGTTCTCTTAATAATGAAAACAACTGGACTAGGCATTTTGCGCGAAGCAACAACAACGATGAATAAGGTTGGTTGGTTTAGTGCGATAAAGCGGCCCTTCGTATTCATTAGGAAGTTTACAAACACGTAACGCGTTTGCAATTATCAGTTAACTAGCAACCATTAATGCCTCGAACAATAACTTTTCATAATTTATAGGGTATGAATAACGAACGGGCACAATACATGCTCTCCCTTCCTTACACAATATGCTATTATATTATATTATATTATATCTTTTTTATTTTCTCCTTTTTGGCTATTCAATATCAAGCATATTTCGCGTATTTAGTCATATCACACAAGTTTGAACGATTTATCATTAATAAAGAGATCAAGTATGTTCTCCGAATATATAATGAATATTTAAGAATACGATTACGATAAACAAATCAAATATTTCTTATTTTGTTTACGTATATTTTTGATACGAACCTGAGTTGGTACTTTTTGTATCCATAGGCGGCGGGGGGTCATCAAGTGGCCAGTACATGGTATCTTACGTCTTAATAAACGTGATGCTAAGAAAAGAGACAAACATGAATCAATATTGCAGTAATGGAAGGACTCTGGTGAACTTATTTTTAAATACCAAATGGAAGGTACTAAAATAAAATTAGATTTATTACGACGTTGCTAAAGCACGTATAAACATAAGTTACATACACGCACACACGTATATACTTACCCGTGAATGTTGGAAGTCTCGAAAGGCGCTCTTATATTTCTATTAGAGTCAATGTACTTGTTACATTCCTTGTTGCTCGACAAACGACCTCAAAAGATATTCTATACAAAGCGTTATTCGTTGATTTCGCGTGAATAAAACGTGCTTTGCTTGGGAACACCACGCAAGGTTCTCTAAGCTGTTATCAATTAACAAGTAGCGTGATAAAAGGAGAGAAAGGGATGAAAGAAAGCAACTTCTCTATTTTCAAGAGCCCTATTCTCGTTGCACAAATGTTTTAGGTCTAAAGATCAAAATTGTTTGAAAAGAATATAAAGGCGAGAAAGTTTCTTTGACCGAGTTGGTCATTGTTTAGTGTTTGGTGTAAAACGGAATGTCAATGTGCATTCGCCGACCCATTTGCTCAAGTTGACTGTTAGACATTAGCTTATTATTATGCACTGTGAAATATTACGCATGTTTTTTTTTTCGGTTAGAGCATAATAATGCATTTCACAAAGTGTTATTCGCGATATCTACTCACCATAAAACGCGTTCACAGTCGTCAAAAATCTACTTCAAACTCGTAGATACATATGTGTGTAATGTGCGTGTAATTCAAATATGCAAAAAGGAATAAAATAAAAGAATAAAAAAGAGAAGGAGAAAAAGTAGATAAAAAGAAAGAGGAAATAGATAGAGAGATATGTATAGAGAGAGAGAGAAGCAAGGCAAGTTGTTAGGGTGGGGAGAGAGACGATCGAAACACGATGGGGTTGGTGGGTGGTAAGACGGGATAGAGGGGGTGCATGCAGGGTGTGCGTGTTTCACGTAGAGAATCAAAGTAACGATTCTCAACCAAGCGGAAATGATTGTAGAGAAGAGAGTCGGAGATTCACCTTTTCTAGGACATAGAAAATCCTAGATGCAGATAAATTGGGGTAACGTTCTGGAATATAGAAAATAATGAAAGTACGAATGGTACTTCACCGATATTACAATAAGAATTCATCAATTAACATAACGCACAATTAAATGTATAAATACAAGATGATTAAATAAATGATAATAGGCCAAGAAAAAAAGAAAAAGTCTGAATAAACTCACCCTTGTCTAATGTTTCTTTAGCCGCGTGTATGACCTTCCTCCGTCTAAGTCCCTCACCGGCCGGGACAGTCGTCATCGTCGAGGATGCACTCGCGTCCTTTTCGGTAGTAGTCGCGTTCCCACTCGTGATTTCAGCCTCGTCATCGCTCTTCGGACACTGAGCCGACGTTTTACCGCTGGGGGTTGTCGACGTTGTTCCGTGGTGGTCGAGGAGTTTGATCGGGGACCCCTCGCCGCCTGGCATAATGTCCCGATTGGGCAGGACTGTCGTCCTTAACCGAGAACTCCTGCGCCTGAACTGGACTGATATCCCACCGACTTTACCTTTACCCTACCCACATAGTTTCTCTCTCTCTCTCTCTCTCTTTCTCTCTCTTTCTCTTCCTTGTTTTCCAGTCGCTATCGTCAACGTCGACAACGACTACGTCCTCTTTTGCGAACTCGCGCCATCTGCACGGATGTCGTCGCACTCTCTTCCTCCTCACCTCACCCACCCCCACGCCCACCCCTCTCACCTGCACTCTCCTCTCTCACTCTCACTCACTCTCTCTCTCTTTCTCTCTCTGTCTCATCTTCTCTCTTTCTATTTACCCTCATCCCGATCGATGAATCTCGTCTTTCCCGTGGGGGGTGGTTTCTATAGGACAAGGACGTATACCACCTCTTGGAAGTTGTTCGTCTCATTCACGGCCAATCCTCGGTACGATGGACTCATATCAGATTTTCACCCTTTCTCTTCATGGACATCTACGTATCTTGTGCGCTCTTGGTACTTTATATTTGTCCTTTTTGGAATATAATTGAAAGTGACGAGTACGTAACGAGTAAGACGACGACGACGACGAGTCGACGCGTTCAAACGATCGATTCCTTCTCACTCTCTTTTATCTCTTTCCTTCTCCCTTTCTATTTCTTTCTCTCTTTTTTTTGTTCTTTTTTTTTTTCTCTCGTATCTTCGGGAAATGAATATTGCGTCATCGGTTTGTATATTTATACCTACGGTGTTGGATTATGAGAAGGATGAAATATATATATATATATATATATATATATATATATATATATATATATGTATATTGATTGTGGTAGTCTCTATTGCGTCGTTCTCTTTTAATTTTATTTTTTCTTTTTAAATAGGAAATGATGGGAAGATATGAGGGAGATAGGTGAAAAGTGTAATTATCACATCTACGCGTGTTTTTGTCGTATTTTATTAAAATATTTATGAGACGCTTAAAACTTACACGCGCAACGGATAGGGACAGTAAATAATTAAATTAAATACATTTTCCGACACACAACGGTGCATAGGAATGACCGTGCTCAAGGTTGCCATTACTTCTTTTCTTCTTTTATTTTTTTTTCGTATACTCTTATCCCGTTAACAATATTTATATAATATGGAAAACACTTAATATAGAGAATTTCGCAGGATTCTGACGAATGCAATTAACTAAATCCTTTATACATTTTTACATCATATTTTTATATCGTTGTAATGTTATTGTGTGTATTTAACTATTCCACGAGCAAACGATTCGTCGTATGATGCAATGAAATTCTTCATCTATATTAGTATTAAGATATTTGATCGCATTTATAAGAGATTTTTATACATTATACGGATTTATGTATTTGTAATTGCTTATGTTTTCATCATATTCCTTTTCTATATTATCACTTCGGCAACCGAGAAAAGTGGCCTCGATGAAAGCAAGCTTCTTTTCTACGTTTTCAAATAAATATGAAACATTAATTGCGAGGTCCATCGAATGCATCCCTTCGTCGTAAAATAGGACGTTTCTGCATTCGTTGAACTTCGCAGTAAGAAACCTACATCGAAGTTAATTACATTTCTCAATGATCCTTTGCCTTATTTCATCTCAAACGAATTTCTCGGTCTGGTTTGGTCATTACGCATCTTCCTCTGTAGCAAATCTCGGTCATGTGCGAGACCTTCGTTGTCGTAGATGTTCTCAACACTTTACCAAGTATTGTTTCTGTTGTATTGTGTTGACTGATCTCCGATGTCGTTGGTAATGTCGGTTTTGTTGTCGTCGTTGTCGTTGTTGTCGTTGTCTTGATCAGACTCGTTGGTGTTACGGTCACCATAGATTCATCTTTGGATAAAATATCATGCACCGTGGTGTCTAATATCACTGTTGGATTAGAATGATAACCTGACGTAAATGAATTATCATCAATATTTTCAACAACGATCGTCGTTGGAGTCTCTTCTTTCTCAAATTTCATTAAGGAACGATCTCCGACTTGATTTATCTCTTTTTTAACACTAATAGTACTAGCTTTCAGTGGGGAATTTGTTTTAATGTTATTGTCTTCGCTTGAATTCTCCGAGGTACTGACCTTATTATTTTTCTCCTTGTTCAATGATTTCTCATCGGAGCTCTCCTTAATATTTTCTTTAGTTCCCTTAAGATCATCGAATACAGTTTGTACGTAATCCGAAAGAATTTTAATTTCGGGATCTTTTTCTTCTTCATTCGTCGTAACCTTTGTTAATGTTTTACTCCAATCAGCTGTTTTCCCATTTTTATCGTAATTCCAAGTGGACAAGAGAGAATGGTTTAAGGCTATCGAAGGATCCGATGGATATCTAACCTCACTCCATTTAGCACGGTGATTCTTCAGATAAGTGATATTGTCATTGTCCATTGACTCTTCGGTCTTTGTACTTTCAACAATAGGAGAATCCTCTATTGTCGTATCAATCGGTTTTATCGTTGTTGTTTCTAACTTTTCTGTGATCGGTGTAGTTTCTAATGCGGTATCGATAGAGTTTAGATCATTTAGAGTTGTTTGAGAATTATTGAAATCGCTGGAAGTTGTTCCTGTTTCTTGAATTGTCGGTAATTTAAAATTTTCTGTGGTATCCTTCGTGATCGAATCTTTGGGATAGATGCGTGTACCGTAATACTGAGTGGTAGTTCTTAAACTTTCTTCAGGGTCAAGTGTTCCTTCCAATTCCTCCGATATAGTTGTAGGTATATTGGTAGTAATACGTGAAAATTTGTAGTTTGTTGTTTCTACTTCTCCTTCTTCTTCTTCAATCGAAGATGTTATTGGTGTTGATGTTTGCCAAACATTTAAAGGTAATACCGTACTAGTTGATGTCGCCAATACAGGTACTAAAACTTCATCAGTTTTCAACATTTCCTCAAGAAAATCTTGTAACGCGGATCGTCGGGATCCGTCACCGGTTGATCTCATAATATTAAATTCACTTAGATTAGGCCTTGTCTGCCGAATCGGATTGTATTTGTATTGATCGTGCGTTAGACTATTAACAGCAGCGTTGATATGTTGAGATTCGGCCGTCACGAAATCATCGACGATTGGCCTTACTCGTACTCGTACTCTTTTCCTTCTATTAGTCTGCATAAAAAAATTATGATAAGATAATGATTAATAATTTAATCAAATTAATTAAACATTTGAATAGAGAACATTGTTTACCTTTCTGACTGCACCAGGATCCGCAGTTTTCTTTGGTATTTTCTCACCGTCTTCGTTATCCGTAGGTTCCCTTGACAAATTATCTTCCTTCGATCTCCATTTGTCATGATCATCATCATCATTTTCGTACGAACTTACTTTTTGCTGACGTTTCATTGGATTTTCTGTATGATCGCGTGCCATCATTTTTTGTCCAAATACCGTCGTGGCCTTTATCATGGACTCTTCTTCGTTCATTATCGATTTTGTTTCATCGCTATTCTCTAATTCCGAGGAAACCACGTACGTTACTGAATTCTCCGGACGAACCGTAATAATATCAGCTACTTCTCTAACGTTTCCATCTTTCTTACGTGCCTCGTTGAATCCATCGGTAGCATAATTAGTTGCAAAGCTTGGTTGAAAAGAGGTCCGAGATAATTTGGTAGACCATTGACTCTCGGCTCCGTAGATGTCAGCAGGCATCAATTGTGAATTGCTCAATGTCGTTGATTTTGAATGTGTTGAATGATCATACTTTTGAGGAGAATTACTTGCCAGTTGAGTTTGATCGTATTCATCTTGTTGTAATTGTGTTTGGGGAGATACCGCTCCAAAGTTCAATACAAAGTCCTGCGGTGGATACTGAAATAATTATTTTATTTTTATTTTATTTATTTAATACTGGATTACATTTAATTCTATATCGCGGACTCCTCTATAACATGAATCCCTACAGTGCGAATTCCTATAACAAGCTAACCATTGTGTTATCAAGTATTCTTTGTATAGAAGAAAAGAATTGTTTTCAATATTTATATTTTTGTCTCACATGAAATAATCGTAAATTATTTCGAGGAACATACAAATTTTCTATGATGTGAGTTCATATAAACCATTTAATAGTGTTTATTTTACTTACATTTTCCGTGGCTGATTTATAATTTTGATCCGGCTGATTATAAGTTTCACCAAATTGGGATAAACTTCCAAAATTTTCATCGTAAAGAGTTTGTTGTTCTCCGATTGCTGCTGGATGTGGTGGAAGTATACGCGGATAATTTCCCTCCAATGGTACTTCGTTATTTGCATCAAAACCGGATTCCGTTGTGCTGGTTGTTGTTACACGTTTCCTACCTCCGGGTCGACGAGTCCTACTTCGACTTCTATTCTGTTTGATATCTTCTGGTTTATATTTTGGTCTTACTGTGTACACCGAATTATCAGGATTTAATGTTGCCGGTGATATATTTTCCGTTGTCGTCGTTGTAATTGGCGTCGTAATCGGCAGTATTGTTGATTTAATTAATGGTCGTCGATTTGTTGTTTGATATTTCGGACGATTTTTTAAAGAATGATTTGGAGGTGGATCGTATTCTATTTCGATATCTTGAGCACTGCCAGAAGGCTGCTGTTGTATCTGTAATATGAAGTTTTGATTAATTTTTATTAGAGAATTACCAAATGCAACCGATTGCCTATGATCATACCTCATTAATTATTTTCTTTGCGGATAGTTTTTTAATACTGACAATGAGTCTAATATTTAATCATAAATATAAATTATTGTTATATTTTTATTATTTATTAATTGTTTATTTTACCGCAAACATACATTAGACAATAAGTTTAATTGAATCTGTTAAGTTATATGTAATATTAATTTGCGTGAACATTTATGTCAAATAAATAGTTTAACTAGTACGATTTTGGCAACTTCCCCAAAGTATATCAATGCAATATTACTTGGAATCTCATACAACCGACATTACTTGAGAAAAGAACGTGTCAGTGTACAAATGAATTGCAGTTATAATTTAAATCTCGTAATAATGCAATATCTTTTAGAAAAAGATACTGCGAAAAAAGTATGCAAGGAGTACGTGTTTATATCTATGTTTGAAATGAGGAAATATTCTAATTATAAGATGGGTTTTAAAAAAAAAAAAAAAAAACGGATAACGCATTGGATAAGTATTATAACCGATAAGAAAATACTGTGAAAAAGAAACTTACGGGTAAATTGTTTACTTGCGAAAGTATTGGCTTGAAAGTAACAGGTGGTGCGTGGAATCGATTGTCTACCGGATTCACTGGTCGGAAGCTAGGAGGTCTTATAAAGCCATAATCGATATCTTCTTCTAATGGTTGTTCAGTAGTCGTGGTGGTCGTAGTCCTCGGCGTGGTCGTCGTAGTTGTCGTTGTTGTTGTTGTGGTCGCGATTGTTGTCGATGGCGTAGTTTGTTGTACAAAAGGCCGTTGTCTTTGCGAACCAGCTTGAATCTTCACGTACTCGTAACCGCTCGTTTTAACTTGGCTTTGTGGTCGAGATCTCGATTTAGTTCTGTGACGATGTATATTAGACGACCGTGGGGAATCTTGATGATTGACAGCACTAAAACGCACGTATTCGTCTTGCGAACCTCTTGGACGAGTTTGCACAACCGAATCGGAATGCGTACGTGTACCAACACGGCCACGAACACGTTGTCGTATTACAACTGGAGTTGTTTCCGTTGTCGTACTGGTTTTCGTTACCACCTTTACAAATAAAATATCCTTATTATTAATTTTCAATAGAGTAAGGAAATAAATCATGTAATTTATTGTGGATCAAGGTGATCGGATTAAAGAGAAGGGATACATTCTCTTAGCATTTGCGTCACCAACTCTATTTATACCTATTTCATCTTTTTTCATGATGTTAAAATTTTATATCAGATATATAGGGTATATCCGGAAAGGTAATATACAACCCGGTTAAGGGTGATTTTACATTTGAAGATAAATCGTTAAGAAAGAGTAAGATTTTTTAGTTTGGGGCTACGTTTCTTAAATAATCGTGTTTGAAAATGCTGTGAAATACGCGTACATTGAATTACTAAAAAATATAATATTTTCTAGTGATAGTAGAGTAAGTGAGTTTGTAAAGTAGATATTGTTTATACGTATATGTGGGATCGAACATCTCCATGCTAAATGTAATAAGTATTCGTGAGGAAATTTGACCGATGATCCTGGATAGTTTAATGGATAGAGCAGAGGTCTGAAAAGTGAAAGATCCTGGATTCGAACCCCCCGTTTCAGAGACTTAATTTTTCCCCGAATCCTATATATATATATATATATACTCTATATACTATATACTAATGAAGCAAATATTTTACCGCATTTAATGGTTCTTCCGTCGATGGCGTTAACAAATCATAAACTTGTTGTTTCTCTGGTGGAAGAGGGATGAATATCGGTTCTTCATTTTGATCTGCTACGTTGCTACTTCCATCTACTTTTCTATCTTCGACTTGTCCAAAATTACCACTCTCACCAGTCGGAGGATAATTCAAATGCGATTGAACTGGTGCTACATCGTAAATTGGAGAATATTGTTGAGCTGTTTTATCAATTTTACTTCCCGGATTTTCCGAAGTACCACTTATACCAAAGTCCGTATTTTCGAGTTTCTCGGCGTAATAAGCGGTGTAGTCTTTAGATTTCTGAACGGTAGGTTGATTACGAGTCTCGCTGTTTTGTGCTTGGTAATTAAATCCATTGATCGGTGTTTTTTCAAGAACACTTTGGTCCAAGTCATTTAATTGACTTCCATAAGCGATAGGATAGTTCGCTTCTTGTGGATAATTTTGTTGACTCTTAGAATAATCTTCCGATGCAACTGGCGTGTTGTAATTCGTTGTAGTTTCACGAAGAGGTGGATAATTTTCGGTAGAACTGATACTCGTTGATGGATAATTCTCTTGGGAGAAAGCATTCAGGTTTGACAAAGGTATACTTGACTCTTGTTGATTAGAATTATGCGAATTTGAGCCCGATTGTGAATATGGATCCGTCGATGAGGAAGTGATCGATTCGTCGGGAGCAGTATGCTCGTAAGTCGCAGCTTGGTGTGCTTGAACGTTGTAATTTTGATCATAGGCCTGTATTAAAAAAAAGAAATATACATTTTTGCACGTATAAAAAAAATATGAGATAATTTTGTCATTAAATTGTATAATCCTCACCTCGGATTGATAAGCCGTCTTATCGTTATTCCTATGTTTCTGACCTCTTGGTCTTTTATGGTGATCTGCGTAGTTATATTTCTCTGTAGTTTCAGAATTCTTAGATTTGGTAGGTTCGTAAGCAGTGGAATCATTATATGATTCGGTAGTAGTTGTATATCTCGACCCACTTCTCGTTCTGCTGTAAGGTCTTCTAGATCTGTCTGCAGTCGTTCTAGTAATAGACGTCGTAGGTATTGTGGTGGTAGTTGGTCGTGTGGGTACTATCCTACTCCTGTTGAAAATTCATCGTCGTGTTAATTTTCATATTATATTTATATATATTGTTACATCTTTTTAGTAATTAGATTTACCTTTGACGTGAACGTGGTCTATAAGTAGTCGAGGGTGGTCTAGCTGTAGTAGTTGTGGTCGTAGCCTTTGTATACGCTGGTGTTGTTACAACGTGTGTCGTTGTAGTGGTTGGTATCGTTGTCTGCTTCTCTAGCAAAGAATTTACCAAGCCAGGTAGATGGGGTGAAATCGGTAATTCAGCAGGTAAATTATATTGCGTTGGACCTACAGATTCTCTCACTTCGTTAACATCATTCGGAGAGATTAGAGATTGGAAGGAATTGATCAGATGAGGATCTGATTGCGTATATGTGTTTTGGTGTTCGACAAAAGAGTTTTTGTTGTTGTTGGCATCTCTGTGTTGAGCAAGTTCATGGTTAATCAAAGCTAATTGTGCAGCTAAATCCTGTTCTTTCGTTGAGGGATCATCTAGTGTTCTCAACGAGTGTTCTGGATAATTCGGTGTACTCGAGTAAATTGCTTCCTCTTGATAAGCAGACGCAGTGGTACCTAATCTAGTTTCGTGTGCCAAAGTAGGAGCTACAGGTCTGGAATCTTCATTGTAATATGCCTTTTGTTTGGACTTTCCAGCTGGAAGTGATGATTCGCCTCGGTAAATAGTGTCGATTACAGAAGGAGGATTATTATCTCCGTACGATTGCCTAAAACGGAATCTAGAACCACCAGGATTTGATATCGTCGAATACGAAGTATCGTACTTTGGTGTACTCGAAAATTCTTGAGTGTAACCAGCTGTAGTTGAATGTTCATAGCTTAGGGTAGTAGGATCTATCCGACCCAAATTACTTCCAGTACCATCGATATAAGAATTTGGCTCTATAAGAGGCGTCGGGTTTGGATTATGAATAATTTCTGGTGTATCAGGTTCGGGAGATGAAGCATCGATCGTGTTCACGACAACGGATCCTATATGAGGAGCTGGGAATGGGATTTTAGAATATCCTGGTGGTGGATCGAAGCTTAGCGGCGCTACGAAAAAAGGTAACTTGTCGACCTTCCTTTCAACTCGATTGTGATCGATAGATGATAAGTACGGGAGATCGAACTTCGTATAACCAGCCGGTGGATCTAAATTCGTTGGTCCTACAAAGACCTTAGGCGTGTTAGGTACGACTGTGTCTAAAACTGCTATAGTTTTAGCGTCTTTAAGAATCCTCAAAACATCCGCAATTTTGACTCTGTCTGGTGCCATGCTATCACCACCACCCATGTAAACGGAAAGAGGAGGTTGATTGGGCGATGGTGGTGGAGTTGTAGTCGGTGGCTGTTGATTGATTCTTGGACGTTGTTGTCTTACGCGATTTCTGTGTTTTATCCTATGGGTCGTTTCTTCAAGATGCTGTCGGTGTAACTGCTTGTTACGTGTCAAAGAAAGCGCTTGAGTATCCGGCTGATTTTGATCGACGTTCGGAGCAATCGTGCTCGCTTCCTCTTGCCTCTGTTGTTCTAATTTTCTTTCTTCCTCCAAAGCACGTTGAATCTCCAATTGTTTTTGTCTCTCCAATGCAGCAAGTCTCTCTTTCTCTCTTTGCCTTGCTTCTTCCTCTTGTCGACGTTTTTCTTCCTCTTGCCGACGCTTTTCTTCCTGTTGCCGGCGTCTTTCCTCTTTCGCACGAGCTTCCGCGATTCTTCGTCTCTCAAGTTCCTCCAATCTCTGCTTTTCCCTTAACTCTCGAAGTCTTTCAAGTTCTCGTTGCTTCGCTATTTCTTCGATTTTCTCGAGTTCCTTTATCCTTCTTTCCTCTTCTTTCTGTCTTGCTAATTCCTGTTCCTTTTGTAGAATTTCTTGCTCAAGTTGAGCCTTCCTCTCCAGTGCTTTCTCCACGTCTTCTATTCGAGCGACCTCCTTCGATCGTTCTTCCTTTGCGAACTTCAACTGGTCCAAAAAATCTCGACCGAAAGTATCTGGCTCTCTCGTCGTTTGCTCAATTTCATCGTTTATTCGATATTGCTGCTGCTGGTTCTGATGTTGCTGCTGTTGCTGACGGAAAGGATATTGCTTTTGTCCTCGAAATCTTTTTGGTTGAACTCTTTGTTTGGCTAAGGTTTCTACAGGAACGTAAACTAGTTGGACCTGAGAGGAATGAATAAGTTATATATACGACACGTGAAAAAATAAAACAACCTAGAAAGATAGAATCGTTAAACGGTATTCACCTCCTCGTTTTCGTTCTCTGCATTTTCAGATATGCCAGGAGTACCTTGTACCGTTTGACCTTTCACCTGTTTTCCGGTTGGCCGATATTTTTCTTCCTTCCCGACGAAGTCTTTAACGTTATCACGAATATCCTCTACCTGGGTCAATTGATCAAGACTTTGTCCTTCTCTCAAACCATCTTCATGACCTTCGTTGTAATTGACTTGACTTTTGCTATTATGCGAGTTTCCAAATTCTTCAGATTTAATGTTTAAATTCTGATTACCCCTTATTGGTTGATGAAACCGCTGTGGTCCTTGGCCGAGGAAGTTTTGAGCTGAATAAATGGGTGGAAGAGCATCGGATGAAGGTAACGGTGGTACCAGCACGTCCGAACTTAAACCCGATACACCTGATAAGTTTGGTATCGTATTTTGTTGAAGCATGCGCTTGTCATTTTCCGGGCTACTAAAGCCACTCGGTAGAAATGTTTGAGACTAAAATTAATTTATTAAAACGAAGAATTAGTCAAATTATTTTACTATATTGCATATATGTACTATGATATTTTTAATTTTTTAAGTGGATAAATATACATCCTAAAAGTATTGACATACATTTATAACAACATTGTCTATATTAATACCTGCAATAACTGTTGTTGCGTTCTAAGTTGTTCCTGCAATATCAGCAACTTTTGAATATTCTCTTGAGTCTTTTGCAATTGCAAAAGTTGTTGCTGATATTGTTCTTGAAGTGCCGGTGGTAAAGAAAGAGATGAAAGATGTGGTAAAGAAGGACTTCCCGACGAAATAGCTCCATTTCCACTATTACTCGGCCTGATTTGACTGGAAGCACTTCTTGGATTGGCCAAAGGAATCCAGTCGCTGTTCGATACTTGTCTAGACCATCGTTCCCCGCTGGTACCACCAATTCTTATGTATAGAATCAGACCAGTAGATAGTAGTATCAACGACCAGCACCTCCGCACGATCTGAATAGACGAAATCGAGGATTTCAAACTGTTTTCTTGTTACTTTCACAAACTTATTTCGATAAAAGTGATTCGCGATTATGTCATCGGTTTTATTTTCTCCGTGTAATAACAACTCTTCGACTTGGGAATAAATCAAAGGAATTCGTAGAAAGTCAAAGATGATAATATCATACGGCATATCGTTGCCGTAATGATAATGTCAAAAACGAAATAAAACCGCAATCTCGTCTTAGTCGATCACGAAATATATAAGAAATTCTTTAAATTTCTTGCGGGATACCGATAAATTATCTTCCCTCAATGCTATTTTCTGATGGATCCTTGCGGTTTATTAGTGGTAACGAGACACCGAAGTTAAACGTAGTACTTCGTAAAAACTTCTCAATCTTTTCAAATTATTATTATTCGTGATATCTCGTACGTATTTTTCGATTTGCCAATGGATACTATCATTTTGTTAATTACGATTAGAAACTAAATAAAATCATTCTTTCTATGAGGAAACAATGAAGAATAAGTGCCATCGATTTTTCATCTCTGAGACTTTCAATCTATATGTATGCCTGTATGTGTATGCGTCTCTCTCTCTCTCTTTCTCTCTCTGTGTGTATACGTGTGAAAATACGTTATCGATTCTCGATACAATTTTCCGTTTCATTTCCGCTTCCGCAAATTCTTAATCGCCTTTCGAGAAAGATTTTCTTATGTTTCTAGCGACACGATGAACCGTGAAATTTGTAGTTACATTGGATGAAATCATTTCGAGAGGAAGAGGAGAGGTAAAGAAAACTTTTCAACTTCGGTTCTTCAAATTATCGCGATATATTAATATCTTCTTTGAACGTTCTAGATTCATTTTCCCGCTTAAACCACATTTTATGTCCGTTCCAATATGCTACAGTGAATGTAGTTGACCTTCTCCTTTATGACACTGTTCAACGGAAATTCTATTAATGTAATAGATATATGTATACACATCACAAGTATTCTAAATATTTCACGCTAAAGCGAAAGTAATTTAAAAGTAATTTTTCTAAAATTATATATACGTATATATGTGTTCAACTTTTGAATTCAATTTTTTTTGTATTCATAAACATTTATCTTTTTATCACACAATATTATATACATAATACTTTGTTAAAAAGGATTAAATTTCCAAAAGTCTATTATATTTTGTTTTTATTATAATGTTATGAACTAAACATTTTTTTTCCATTAAATAAAAGTTCCATTGCGAAACTATTTAAAATTCGAATAGAAAAGATTTCAAATTAAACAAACTATTTTTAAATCTTTCTAAAGTTATATACATATGTACACAGTAGACTTCCGTATAACGCAAGTTTCTACAATGCAAATTCCTATACCGTGCCAAAGATATTGCGACTACTATATCATGTAACACAATTTTTCGTATAACGCGCTACATAATAAAATATAGAAATTTCTCGAATTGAAAAAATTCAATTTGCAGTAATTGAGGATTACATTTCTGTCTTTGTCTTTATTAATTTCTTCTCTTTAGTAATTATATTTTTGTAATTATATATTTTCAAAACTACTAATATCAAGAATATTTTATGGAAAAGAATTTATATCTGATAGATATATTTTTTCACGAATTAATTGTAAATTATCTTAAGGGAAAAATAAATCATTTTATAGGAGAAAAAAAATGTTCGACCGACCCGATTTCCTATAACACGAATTTATGCATCGTGTAACACAGTAACCGCGTTATATGGAAATCTACTGTATTTGTAAATCAGTCATTTCGACAAAATTCTCATTCGATCGAATATAAATCCCGAATGAGGGACGTAACATTATCGCTTGTCATTTGCCAATTTCCTCTGAAATGTCAAATCAAATGACTAGAATAACGGTTTAAATTAAAACGAATATCAGATAACGTATTTACTAATAAATAAGTGCTAACATATAAAATAAAACATTTCACCGTTCTCGAGACTGTAAATAAACATTGTTATCATCATTATAATTGTTAATCATTGCTGTCATTATCACCTTTAATATTGCCATTAGGAGAGTTGAGATCGAGTTGTACGCGAGATCTGGAGTGCAACCAAACTAACGAACTGTGAAACGTCTAAAAGCATAACAGCATACCAGTGATTTCTAATAAATACACATAGATGAGCCGAGTTAACTTTTGCCGGATCTTTTTTACCGTGATTGTTCGCATTTATAATTAATTAATCGTAAATTAATGTAAATTGAAAGTCATGCGAAGGAGAAGGCGATTTTTAAATACGGAGAAAAAAAAAAAAGAGAAAAAAAAAGTTTAACAAGTTGGAGCTTTTTCTCGCGAATAAAGAGAAAGTTTTTGTGTCGAGCTTGAAACAATCATGTATGTATAATAAGTACGTACTACTGACATCATTTAGATTATGTGCCACGATACACGGTTACGAACAATTTTCATTGCGGAAGATCGCGTGTCCGACACGCCGTACGATTTTTCTGCTTTCTTCGCGAAATGCATTCTACGACGAGCATGGTATAGCTAGTTTATGCATATATATATATCTATGTGTGTGGTACTTTTAGAAAAAATAAGTTTCTCAAGTGTGAAATAATCTAGCGATATCTTAGGAATTATTTAAAGTGTAAAAAGGCATTCCTATAACGAGTTTAGTTGCATAATATTTTGTATATTCTTCTTGAACGGAAAAATCATGTTGTTTTTTTTGAAATCGAACAATGTTTTAGTCAAATAGAAACAGAAAATAAAGAAATGCAATTATTTCGATAAATTACAACTCTTGTTTGGCACATTTTTAATTTACGTATATGTATTTTAATTTTCTTTCTCTCTTTTGTTCGATCATTTATAGTTTAGTTGAAAGGAAATATAAACAAAAAAACGTTCGTTCGATCGATATATTCGATGAAATCTCTATAGAGATTCATAATTCCGGAGAAATTACTTTCTTTCATTCGAAAGAAACTTATAAATGCTTGGAATGATTTTTCTAGTTGCCTGTAAAACTTTGCAACATGACACGTAACGTAACGCTACGAAGAGCAATTTCAACGTTAAACTCGTGCAATTATCGATCCCTTCTGTTTGTACAGAACGCGTGTATTTAAGAAGGCGTTAAAAAGGAGGTCGGCACCTTTCTCTCCTTGCCCGGAATCGACACGGCATCATCTCATCTCTTTTTTTTTTTTTTTTCTTTAAACATAGGTGAGACATCGCTGTGCCAAATTATAATAGAATAACATTTGAATTTATCTTTGAATATTATACATATTTTATTATTTAAATATATTATATTATATTTAAGTATTCATTAATGTAAAAAAATATATGCATAGTAATAAATTGTTTGTTTTTGTTGCCACAAACAAACAATATATATAATAATTTAAATTTTAAATAATATTAATATATTCAAGAGGTATATATATAATATATTTATCGTTATCTAATATTTGATTCATGTTAATAGAAAAATAATATTTGTTCGTCTTCGGTTAAAAATCGTAAAAGTTAAATAAGAAAAAAGAAATTTTGTATTTTTTAAAAGTTAAATTTTTCATTCGAATTAGATTATATTTTACTTTAATATAATTTCATAACATTTAATTACATTCAATTATATTATATACATTTTATAATAAGATTAATATCATACGTATATATGTTATTGATATGAAAACTTGTATATCTTATAAAAGATTGTTTCCTATAAAAATTTCTTTACGCCAATTTAATCATCAAAAATTATAGTCCATAAACAAACGATGTTGAAACTTTATCAATATATTTGTTAGTTTCTACGAGATAGAATATTGTAGAGAAGATCGATTACAATAACTTAAAGTGATCGTAATACTACACAGCCGATAATTTCGTAAAGAATCATTAAACTATAATATTTAAGGATAATCAATGTTTAAACTAATATATCCGTCGTGTTCTGTACTGGTTATCTCAATGTGAGGTGTTTGAAGTACTATAAATAACTTCAACGTGTTCTATTCGTAAATCGAGAGAAATTTGAACAACATCGAACAACTTAAACGAAATGATATCTATTAAATACGTAACATGATTAAGGAAACACCAAAGAAAATGTCATATTTGCAACCTTCGGAATTTCATGCTCCACTTATTCGTATGCACTGCCTTTAGTTTCTTGAACTTTCATTTCTCCTTCATGTATCGATAAACTGACCATTCGATTGAAACATGTAGAATCCAACGATTAAAATATTCTCTTTAAATAATAATTATAACTGCGTACACATATTTAAATATTAACATAACTCGAACGTCTATTCTATGTTATCGCAAGAATGCGAATTTTTGATAAATCGATAAGAATGATGAGAATTATGTATATAGATATATACATAGTTACGTTGAGATATCTTCCGGATACATATATACTAATATAGGACGTTATTATTGCTTGGATACCACATGTCGGCTGTATGAAATTGCATACTTGGAATAATTACGGATTGGGAACTTACTATTGCAACGAAGTAGATTTCAAAGGAGGATGGAGGCTTTTGAGATCCGTATAAGAAAGAAAGAGAGAGAGAAAAAAAAAAGAAGAAAGTATATTCAGTGAAAATGAAAAAAAAATCGAGACGAATAATGATTAAAAAAGAAGAGGAGAAAAAAGAAAAAATGTAAAAGTATCTTTTTTTTTTTTTTAATCAAACCTTTTCTCTCTCTTTCCACTTCTCTTTTAATTAAATAAAATATAATTGTTTATGTGCTTTGTTGTCATTGAATAAAAAAAATATAACGAAAAGAAAGAACAATGTAAAAACATCAGTTAAGTATTCATATCTTTTTTAATCAAACCTTTTTTATTCCTTTTTTCTTCAATTAAATAAAATATTATTTTGCATATAGTGTAGTACTTTCCCAACATCACCGTGTTGGTATTGAAAATAAAAGAAACATAGATACAATAACGTCTAGTACACTGAAAAATGTAAATGTGTACGTGACGGTAGAACGAGCAAGAGAATTGCTCCTTTTCTT